CATGGCCGAGCTGCCCAGACCAACCCCTCCCTAAGAGGGTCTGTTAGCTTAAGTTCACGTGCATTTCAGTACTGTACAGCTTGCAGGGTGGCTTCGGAAAAAAACCTGAAGGTGCGGCCGCAAAATCCTGGGGTCCTGGGGGGCTCCAAGACGCAAATCCTCCCTGATACGCAGGACCCTAAACCCGAAACCCTAAACCCCAACCCCTAAACCCTAAACTCGAACCCTTAAACCCTGAACCCTAAACAGTGTCTGAGGTCGTGGCCACCCTGGTCTGGGAGGTCGTCGGACGACTCCAGCCTCTGCAGTTCCTCCTGAGGGGGTCTTCCCGAAACCTAAACCCGAAACTCTATTCCCTCAAACCCTGAAACCAAAAACCCTAAACCCTATAGACACTAGACCCTAAAAAACCCCCTGGACCCCAAACCCTAAACCCAATCAACCCCTAAAACTAAACCCTAAACCCCAAACCCAGGTCCTCGAGAGATGCAGCTTCCGGTCCAAGAACCGCCAAGTATCCTCACGTGCAACACGGACGGGCAAAGCTAGAACCTTAGAGCTAGACTCTGCCTCGGCTTTGGGCTGAATCCCATGGAAATTCGGATGCCAAAGTGGCCTAATACCCTAAACCCTAAACCCTAAACCCTAAAGCCGATGAATGCTTGGGGCGTAGGATCTGGATTGTTTTTGCTCAGAAGCTTGGTTCAGAGCAGCGAGATAGACACGGCTGCATCTCCGAGTTGCAGGTTCGGCAATGGGCTCTAATCCCCTCCCCCAAACACTAACACCCCCCCCCTACCCCCTAATATTAAATACCCCTATTATAGTTATATTAGAGTATATGGGGGGGGGGGTATTTAATATTAGGGGGTAGGGGGGTGTTTAGTATTAGGGGGACGGGTTTGAAACCTAAACAGACACAAACACACATCTCCGCATTCTTCCCATCTCGACATCAGGCCCCAAACCTCATGTTGCAGCTCCTTGTCTCTCGGTCTCTCTTGTCTCTGTGTCTCTCCACCATTGTGCGCTACATGCTGACCTGCAAACCCCAAACCGCTAAGCCCTAAACCCAAACCGCAAACCCAAGATTCCCCGAAACCTCAAAATCGAAGCAAATCGACCCCCAAGAACATCTCTGAATTCCTAAGACCCTTGCATTGCATCTCTGCAGCATGTAAATTTAAGTTTTCCCCCTCCACGAAGGAACCCAAAATCCCAACACCCCAAACACCCCAAACCCTACACCCCAAACCCCATAGCGTAAACCCCAGACCCCAAACTCTAAGCCCTAAACCCGAAACCCTAAACCCTAAACCCTAAGCCCTATAAACCCTAAACCCTAAACCCTAACCCTAAACCCGATTTGAGCTGCAACCCAAGGCTCGGATAAGTCGGCTGTCGAAGGGCGCCATGCTGCCGAACCTATCGGGGGGCTGAGGGCGCTTGGGGCTTTGAGGGCTTTTGGGTTTAGGGTTTAGGGTGTAGGGTTTAGGGTTTAGGGTTTAGGGTTTAGGGTTTAGGGTTTAGGGTTTAGGGTGGGCTCGCAGGGGTTTTAGGGTTTGGGGGGGTGGAATGGGGTTTCGGGGGTTGGGGGCTTGGGGCTTTGGGTTGGGAGCTTTTTTGGGTCTATGCCGGCAGACTGCGGACAATCGGAGTGAGCATAGCAGGAAGATTAGGAGGCAGATTGGCCAATTACAAATAACGCGGCGGCACCTTCCAATTCTACAATGTTCCACACCCCTTGCGGTGATATGCGTACTATCGGACAGGCTACGGGTTCACTGGTCCACAAGCATCCCGCCTATGGCGCTGGAACATTCCCCCAAGTGCCCAACAAGCCGAGTACATGAAATTGACCTTGACGTCTCATGCCACGACTAATGCTGTTCAATGCTGTGCTTCAGAACCCTAAACCCTAAACCCTAAACCCTAAACCGCGTCTTGGGACATCCGGAGATGGCTTGGAAAAATGTAAATCGGTGGAATTTGCCGTGCACGTCGTGATGCGGGGCCAAGAAATTGAAGAGGTTTCTTGGGGTTTAGGTTAAGGTTTTGGGGCTTGGGGCTTGGGGCTTGGGGCTTGGGGCTTAGGGTTTAGGGTTTAGGGTTTAGGGTTTAGGGTTTAGGGTTTAGGGTTTAGGGTTTAGGGTTTAGGGTTTAGGGTTTAGGGTTTAGGGTTTAGGGCTAAGTGCTCTTAGGGTTTGGGGGTTTGGGCCTTATCAGGGGCTTCTAGGGATTAAGTTAGGGTTGGGGTCTTGGGGTTCTAGGCTTTATGGTGATCGCCAAGCCCTTTACCCCAAAACCCCAACGCCTCCGACGCCACCATCCCTCTCGCAGCCGCTCCGGTCGCGCCGCGGTTTAGGGTTTAGGGTTTAGGGTTTAGGGTTGAGGGTTGAGGGTTGAGGGTTGAGGGTTGAGGGTTGAGGGTTGAGGGTTGAGGGTTTAGGGTTTAGGGTTTAGGGTTTAGGGTTGAGGGTCGTGTGCCCTCAAGTGCCCCAAGTGCGCTGGGTGCCCTGTTCCCGGAAGCCTGCTTCCTCCAAGGCTCTAGGACTCTAGGATGCTCCAAGAGTTCAGGGATGACAGCTCTTCAGGCTCTTACGGGTCTGGTAGGGAGTTCCTCAGGCTTTCGTGCTGGGTCGGGGGCTGGCAGGGGTTGAAAGCTCGGCTTCGTGAGTAGCGCCCTTGCCTGCCTTACGAGTGGGGGGGGGGGGGCCCTTCATGTTGCTGGATCCACAGCTGCCAGGATATCCACTGCTGGAACGGACAATGATCGGCAGGACCCCCCAACCCCAACCTTCATGTCTAGGAGCCTCTGACCTGAGGAAGGGAGCTACGGGCCGACGCGTTCTTCCCTCCGAAGCCCTAAAACGCAGGGCTGGCTTTATGGTTCGGACTTCGAGTTGCAGGGGGGCCAGAAACGAACCCCCCCGAATAAGTGATCACTATCTACTATTTGCTTCAGAACCCAAAAGAATGAAAAATAATCCCCACATTAACCTTATAAGGCAGAATATATGTTTATTTGTTGGGGGTTCTTAAGCAATTCCTAGCTATCGGGGGAATTCAAGACAGTACAGCCCGTACATGCTTCAAACTTTCGGCTTGTTCTGGGGGGCTCCTTTGAATCTGCTCCTTGGGACACTATGATTTAGGGCTCAGCTCCCTTACCCTAAACACTAAACCCTAAACCCTAAACCTTAAACCGTCAACCCTAAACCCTAAACCCTAAATCGTAAACCCTAAACCCTAAACCCAAACCCTAAACTGAACCAACTACAACTCTGAGCGTGTCCCACTTTTTGCCGCCCTCTCGTCGCAATCCGGGCCGGCGGCACCACCATCCTGCAACCCACAGAGAAGGCTCGGGAAGCTTCACTTTGGAAGCCGGAAGCCTTGTTGGGGTTTGGGGTTTAGGGTTTAGGGTTTAGGGTTTAGGGTTTTTTAGGGTTAAGGTTTGGGGTTGAGGGTCGCGGGTCTCATAGTAGAGGCCACACCAGTTTGAGATATGCAAATCCGAAGCAGTCGAACTCTCCAGCGCCTCAGCGGAACAAGCCCCCAAACCCTAAGCCAGAAGCCTTGCACGTCTCAAGGCCCAACCCTAAACCCTAAACCCTAAACCCTAAACCCCACACCCTAAACCCCAAGGCCCCCAAAGGGCCTTATGGGGTTTCGGGTGGAGAGGTGTGCGTGTGATGTTTGTTCGCTGTTTTTTTTCAAGGCTGAGGGCCTACAAGCCCTCCAACACCCTAAACCCTAAACCCTGAACCCTAAACCCTAAACCCTAAACCCTAAACCCTGAACCCTGAACCCTAAACCCTAAACCCTAAACCTACGGGTGTCGCAAGTGGAATCAGAGCATAGAGGCCATCTGATGTGATCCTTGAGTTTCCCACTTCGACCTCCGGGCTTGGGGTTTCCAACTCAACGGGGCTCTATGGCTCTATGGCTTGTGCGGAAACCCTGAACCCAAGCACTGAAACCCTAAACCCTAAACCCTAAACCCTAAACCTAAGCCCTAAACCCTAAGCCCCCGGAGCTCCTGGCCTTCTTGGATCTGCGATGTCCCGGATGTCGGACCTGCTCTCCACGGATGATTCTTGCACATCGGGGTTTACGAAAATAGGGTTTAGGGTTTAGGGGTTAGGGTTTAGGGTTTAGGATTTAGGGTTTAGGGTCCCCCAACATAGATCCCCAAATAGTAGGATCCGATAATAATAAGGGCCCTGATAAGGTACCCCTAACATTGGAAACCCCATGTGGCACCAGCAACTTCGTTCCTTCGCTTCTTCGCGATGCTTTTCCGGAGCACCGTGTAGCAGACTCGGCGATTACTTCTGCACACATGCAGCAACTACATTCTTGGCGCCCTGTCGGGCCGACTACATGTGTGCAGAAATGATCATGATACCGACTAATTGCCTGATGTCCACATACTGCCGCTCAGAAGGAAAAGAAAGGCCGTGCCAACACGCGTGGGCAGAAACCATTTGACACCGAAGATACTCCCGGGCATTGCCCCTGTGTACAGGCATGCTTCAAAAAAACTGCAAAAATGCTCCCGTTTCCCGTTGCTGAGTTGTATGGCTACGTAGCCTCACGCAGCAGACATTTCAGGTGCTTCCTTCGTTGCATCTTCAGGCGAAGCCTGGAAACCGTTCATGTTCGTGGCCTGATTCGCACACCGGCATGCGCAAAAGAGAGCCGAGTGGTGAGGGAGAGGCAGCTTCCCCTAGTTTCTCAGCTGCTCTTAGTTGTCCAGTAACCTGGGGGAGGTCAAGGTTAAAGGGAATATAAGGGGATTATATACTACGCCAAAAAGGTTAAAGGTTACCTACTCTACTACTAGGCTGCCCAGAAACCTAGGCTTAAAAAGGGTGCCCTTTTTGCTTAAATGGGTTTATAAGGGGACCTAAACCCCCCAAAAAGTGAATAAGGTACTACTGGACATCTTAGACTACTAGCTGTTTGTCCCAGGCCTCACCGATGTCCCGGATGTCTCAGACCGCCAGGGGCACTGTGACTTCGTCAGTGGTGCTGTGGGGCCTGTGGCAGTTGTAGCAAGAAATCTTGAAAAGAGAATCCCAAAAATCATGACGTATAAGAACATCTTCAGCTCCGAAATCTGGGCCTAAAGATTTAGAATAGGGTTTTGGAGGGTTGCTGTATTACAATTAGACAGGGAGCGTAACGGGTCTACGGCGAGTACTTTTCCGACCCCCATGTTACCCCCCCGTAATTCTCCAGGAGGAACACTCCAGAATCAATCTGGGAGATGACTCAGCAGAGCGCGTCTTGGGAGAAGATTCCCTAAGTCGTCATATCCACATGGCGTGCTGTCTAATTTGGGGTCCCTTTTTTTGGGGGGGGGTCCTTCCTTATCAGGTGCCGAGATATGCAGGGGAACCCCAACAAGTGAGGGATACCCATCATGCTCGATGAAGAGGCCGTTGGTAGGGGATCCGAAGCACAGGCCCTTAATTTGGGTCCCCTGTTCTAGAACCCTTATCTACACTCTACAGAATAAGGGCCCATACTTCGGATCCCTTTAAGTCGGGGCCATACGAAGGGCCCATTCCAACCTTCGAACTGGGAGGAGGTTTTGGGGTTTTGGGCTTCCAGCAAAGATCGGGGGGACGATGCGGAGCTCCGGTTTAGGAGGTTTAGGGTTTCAGGTTTCAGGGTTTGGGCTTTCAGGGTTTGGGGTTTCGGGTGTAGGGTTTCGGGTTTAGGGTTTAGGGTTTAGGGTTTAGGGTCTAGGGTTTCTAGGGCTTGTACATGATTCATGTGGGAGACTCAGGCCTGCTGCACCGGGAGGAGGGAACCTGTCGTGAAGCTTCCCAGTTCCCAGTTGCTTCCGGCGGTTTCACAATAAGGGGGGGTACCTTCTTGAGGTCCTTGTGAAATAGTGTATAATATACTATAATGTCATATATCATATATCATAATAAAACATAATATAATATAGTATAATATGTCTATAAGGAAATCCTACGATTTAGGGGGTCTAGATTTGGGGTCCCTGATTGTCGCAAACCCCCGAAATGGACATTGTAGTGTGGGCTTGGGGCTCGGGGTTAGGTTTTTTGGGGTGTAGGAAGTACAAGGCCAGGCTAACTGAGAGGGCCTGGGACCTACGCTCCACGGAGAGCTTGCGACCACGAGAACGCTCGTAGATCAGAACGTGTCGGTGCTGCTCTACTGAAGCAATCGTCTTTAAAAACCTATATAAAGACAAAGACGAAAACACATAAACAACAATAAAAACAAAACTAAAATTTAAAAAATAAAAGCCCAACCACAAGCCCCTCAGCCCTAGACTCTCCAAACTTCCCAAACCCCCCAAAACCCCCCAAGCTCCCCGAACTCCTCGAACTCTGCACAAAGTCTAAACCCTAAACCCTAAACCCTAAACCCTAAACCCAGCATTCAGCTCTGGCACGTGGAGCACGCGGGGGTCGAGGCCCGGCTCCTTGGCGGGCGTCGCGAGGACGGGGGTAGGGTTTCGGGGCGGCCTCAGGGTTGTGCAGGGTTTCAAGGGTTTAGGGTTTAGGATTTAGGGTTTAGGGTGTAGGGTGTAGGGCGTAGGGTGTAGGGCGTAGGGTTTAGGGTTTAGGGTTTAGGGTTTAGGGTTTAGGCTTTAGGCTTTAGGGATGCTTTAGGGTTTAGGGTTTAGGGTTTAGGGTTTAGGGTTTAGGGTTTAGGGTTTAGGGTTTAGGGTTCTGCTCTATACGGTTTGAAGGGGTCTAGAGGGTTTTGGGGGTTCTACAGGATTTTGCAGGGCTCTACTCTAGTGAGGGGTTTCTGCAATACTGGGGCTGAGGGCTTTTTTGGGGCTTTCGGGGCTTTAAGGGGTTTTGGGGACTTGTCGGATGTAGGGTTTGGCTACTTAATTTGGGGTGCCCCAGAGGAATTGCCTTGCAGGGCTTTTGGGGGCCCAGAAACCCCATAAACCCCAAGCGGTAGAGATTCTCCAAAGTATATAGGGGGTGTTGTTCCTGGAGGTTCCTTGAACAAGGAGTATAGTTTAGGGTTTAGGGTTTAGGGTTTAGGCTTTAGGGTTTAGGGTTTAGGGTTCAGGGTTTAGGGTCATTGGGGTTATACATATTTTTGGAAACATCCCCATGTCGCATGCCTCCTTGCCGGACGCGCCAGGCATCAGCACCAGCGACTGCAGTTGGCGCAACCTTCCGTTGTGAAAGGTGCGAGGGTTTAGGCTTCAACCTTCTACCCAGACAGTGAACCCCTTAACCCTGAACCATTAAAGGACCCTCACCTCAACCTCTCAACCTGAGGAAATGATGAACCTGAAAACACCCTTCAACCAAAAACACTGAACCCCAAACTCCAACACACTAAAACCCTCAAGCCTTAAACACTTGTTTTTAAAAACACGCAACCCTAGACCTGGAAGTACTATAAAACCTCTGCAAGTAAAAACCCTTAGCACGTGGAGCCTGAACCCTGAACACCCATCTAAAAATTAAAAACTGGGCTGCTAAAACCTGAAACACGTATAATATGAAAACCATCCTCAACTCTGAACCATCCTGTATAAGGTTTAGGGTTTAGGGTTTAGGGGGTTTAGGGTTTAGGGCTAGTGAAGTGCCTTGCCAGATACTCCGTCAGCAGGGCGGGCGGGGATCCAGGGCTGTCGTCCGAGAGCGCCAGATCCAAACTGGCCGCGCCGGTGTACCCTAAACCTGAACCCCTAAACCCTAAACCCTAAACCCTAAACCTTAAACCTTAAACCCTAAACCCTAAACCCTAAACCCTGAACCCCCGAAACCCCCCTAAACCCCCCCCAAACCCCCCTAAAGCCCCCCTAAACCCACCGAAAGCCCCCCTAAAACCCCCTGAGACTCGCTAAACCCCCTAGAGCCTAAACTCCTCAAAACCCGGGGTCCAGGAGTTTGCTCTCATCTTACGGAAGCCCAATGCATCGGTTTTGGAACATCGCTGTCAGTGTTTCCGTACTGTGCGTTTTCGCACATCGTACGAGTCGCGTGTCCTCATTAATAGGCCGGTGTAGGCTTCGGGGCTTCTGGGGCGTTTAATTAGGGCTTTGGGGCTGTTCGGGCGCTTGGGGTGCTTGGGAGCTTGGACTTTGGAATGTTCTTCTTGGCCGTCCGGTTTGGGAGTGTTGCGACATGGCGGATTGAACTCCCAACTCCCTAAACGACAACAAAGGCAAGACCAGCAAAACACACACACACACACCTCTCTGTCTCTCTCTCTCTCTCTCTCTCTCTCTCTCTCTCTCTCTCTCTGTTCATATAAATGTAGATACTACACACATACACACATACACACATACACACACACATACACACACACACACACACACACACACACACACACATATATATATATATATACACATGTACGTATGTATGTATGTATGTATGCACTCTGAGACTCTGTGTGTGTGTGCCTATATGCGTATGAGTATAGCTTCTTGAGCACCATTTTTTCACTTCAGGGCCTCGAAGGCTCCTCCGGCTGCCCCATCGGCCCTTCATCCGTTAAGGTCTCCAGGATCAAATCCAGGTGCAGCCCGCTAAGCCGATCACACCTGCGAGCAGGGGTTAGGGGTTGGGGTCTGGGGGTTTAGGGGCAAAGGGTGTAGGTTTTAGGGCCAGGGTTTATGGGTGTGGGTGTGGGTGTGGGCATGGTGGGCGTTTGTCGCCCGGGAGCAAAAGCGGCAAGCGTGAGAATCGCAACGCGCACTTCCAAGCATCTGAAGAACCCCATGCATCCATAACAATCCTTAAGTCAATCCCATCTCCTGGCAAGAGAGAAGGATACTTAAAACCATCAAGGCGACCTCCTGAACCTGTGGCAAGAAAACGCTCGCTCCTCATGTTTATTCTATACTCCCCTTAGAACCTTAATTTAACAATTTTTAAATAGTATTTTTTAATCTCCTCTTGGGTGTTATATAAAAACAAAATACAAAATAATTCCCAATGGGGATGTAGATATGCTTCGGGGATCGCACTCGTCGGCCTCGAGAGATGCGCAACAAGCTCTTTGGCAGCCTTGGCACAGGCTTTCATTTTGTTTTATGAGTATTTCTTGCATTTTCTAAAGGGGTTGTGGGGTTTTGGGGTTTTGGGGTTTTGGGGTTTTGGGGTTTTGGGGTTTTGGGGTTTTGGCAGCCTTGGCACAGCCGCAAGGCAAACTTCAGGGCGTGCGTGCTTTGCCTAAGAAACCCTGGACCTTGAAATCTGGCTGGCCCCTAAACCCTAAACCCGAAACCCGAAACCCTAAACCCTGAACCCTAAACCCTAAACCCTAAACCCTAAGCCCTAAGCCTTAGGGCTTAGGGCTTAGGGTTTAGGGTTCAGGGTTTAGGGTTTCGGGTTTCCCTCCTAGAGCCGGTGGTGGCGCCCTTCAGAGCAAGGCTGCTACACATCCCAGCGATGAACCTCTGCAGCCTTGCTTCGGTCAAAAGTCATACGGTAAAACCTAGCTCGAACACCCGAAAACCCTTAGAAAAAAAAAACTGACAAAAATGAAGCAAAAAATTATTATTTGAAAAAACGATGTCAAAAATAGAAGCCCGAAGAAGCCCTAGAAACCCTTGAAAACCTAAACAACTCTAAAACCCTAAAACCCATAAAGAAACACTAAAAAAACCTGAAAAACTAAAACAGCCCGAAACAACCCCTAAACAACCCCAAACAAATCCTGGCCACTCCGGGCCTTGGCGGAGATGCCATTTCCAGACAGCCGGACGATGAGCTCCCGCAGGCTCCGGCAGCTGGAAAAGGCACCAGGGTCGGAGCTTCAGGGTGAGGGTTAGGGGTTTGGGGTTTAGGGTTTAGGGTTTAGGGTTTAGGGTTTAGGGTTTAGGGATTAGGATTTAGGGTTGAGGGTTTAGGGAAGAGGGTTGAGGGCTTTTGGGGCTCAGGGCTTAGGGCTTGGGGGTTTAGGGTTTGGGGTCTGTGCTTCGGCACTGAAATCTTGAACTCCGAACCTGCGACTGCCAACGGACTGGTGCTAGGGTTTAGGGTTTAGGGTTTTGGGTTTAGGGTTTAGGGTTTAGGGTTTGGGGTTTGGGGTTTAGGGTTTAGGGTTTAGGGTTTAGGGTTTAGGGTTTAGGGTTTAGGGTTTAGGCTCAGGGGTTTAGGGTTTAGGGTGCCGGGACTTGGGCTTAGGGTCCTGACACACGCACAGAACACAAGACAACCCACACACGGAAAGCCAAGCAACTGCCCTGATGCGTGCAATATAGGTGTCGGAAGAATTGCGAAGAGCATTCCCTTATGGTCCCTATATAACTATGATACAATTATGCTGTAAGAACCCCTGTCCCCCGCCCCAGGCCCCAAACCCTAGACGGTAATTAAACCTTAGACCACAAACCCTGCACACTCTTGAACTACCAAGAGGCCTCGCCAACCTCTCTCCAAGCGCATTGGCGCCCTCATCGCTTAGGCTGTTGCCTTGACAGTCACACCCCAAGTTGGGCCTACACTACTGGTACTCCGTGGAGAGTGAGGGAATTAGGCCTTCAAGGGTATATACGGGGGATATAAGGTTCCCAGTTCCCTCATTCCCTACTAAGCACCAATAGGTTCCTAACGCTATAAATACTTTTTCGCTGTTGGCAGTATTACTTGCCGCGATCATCATTAGTTCTACTATCTACCACTACCTATTATATCAGGGCGTCTTCAGAATGTTGTAGAAGGGAATGAAATTCTTGGGTCGGTCTCTTCTATCCCCTATATATAACCTTTTCACCCCTATAAATAACCTTTCCCAAAACCTAAACCCTACGCACCCCAGTTTCTAACCAGTTTGGATTATAGGGTCCTTACGGGAGGGGGTTTCACCGAGGGCTAGGAACCCTTCAACAATCTTAGGGAGCCTCAGGGAGTAGTGGGGGGGTGTTGGGGAACCTTGGGTTACATAAGCCCCCTTGAACCCCAAACCCTAAACCCCCAAAACCCCAAGCCCCAAACCCCAAACCCTGAACCCTAAACCCGAAACCCTAAACCCCAAACCCTAAACCCTAAACCCTCAAGTACCCCCTAGAATTGCAGGCCCGGGTTGAGGCGAAGCTGCCGGCCAGGCTCAGCTCCAACTTTGCCAGCCGATCGCACCTGCTTCGGCAGCTCCGGGCCAAGAAGTAGGGTTCGGGTGTTTGGGGTTTCGGGTTTAGGGTTCAGGGTGTAGGGTTTAGGGTTCAGGGTTCAGGGTTCAGGGTTCAGGGTTCAGGGTTCAGGGTTTAGGGTTTAGGGTTTAGGGTTTAGGGTTTAGGGTTTAGGGTTTAGGGTTTAGGGTTTAGGGTTTAGGGTTCAGGGTGTGAGGACTCTGTGGAGGCCAGGGCCCTGTTTAAACAACAAGAACTGAGCCGAACCCAGAACCCTAAACCCTCAACCCTCAACCCTAAACCCTAAACCCTAAAACCCTAAACCCTAAACCCTAAACCCTAAACCCTAAACCCTAAACCCTTCCACCCCAAACGCTTGACCCCGCCCGTCTTGTGGAGCTCTGGGTTCGGACTTACTTGGAAGTTCATGGGCACTTCTAGGCTGCACATCTTAAACCAAGTATTGGCCATGTTAACATGGCTTTGGTGCTTGTACTCGGGTTCTAAGTACGGTTGTTTATCTGGTCATAAGTACGAAGACCACTTGGTAGGGTTTAGGGCTCAGGGCCCAGGGGCTTGGTTGCTGTTTAGGGTTTTTTAACGTTAACAAACCCTAAACCCGAAATGGGTTTTTTAACGCTAAAAGACCCTAAAGTGGAGGGTGGGCTTGGCAGGGCGCTTCGGGGGCTCCCTGGAGGCCTCGCGAGGCTTCCGGCGAGGTGTCGGGCCCCAGCACACCCAACATCACTGTTATCCAGGGAAATCACCAAGTCGTCGAGGTGCGGACACCTCCCAGAGACTCCAATAGGCTTAGGCTTTAGGCTTGTTACCGTCCCTGAATGAATTGTGATTTAGGGAGCTCGGCTGTAAAACAACAGCACATTTTTACGCTTCAGGCAGAAAAGAACTCCCTGGTCCTGACTTGGTGGTCCATGCACGTACAACCCGATCATAAAAGTACTCACAGCCCAATTACAATAAATTCTACCTACAGTTTACGTTGCGAATACATTCTGAACCTCCAAGAAGGCTTCCTAGATGGACGCTGGGGCTAACCATGGCGTCAGTGGTTGTGCCTGGGGGCATACCTGAACTTCGTCCTTGTGAGCTCTGCTCGCGTTCTGGTCTTTAGCAGATGTCCTTGTTATACGAAGCGCATCGCCGAAGCACTTTGGCATTCTGCATAAGGGTTTCATCAATACTCCATTCTTGAAAGGAAATTGCGTTTCGGATTCGTCCGCAGCTGCGTAGTAGGATGGATCGATGCTCAGTATGGTGAACACCCTGCTGTGACTTGGAATGCGCATGCACTATCCAAGCACGGGAAGAAAAAAAGGCCGGATTGATGGCAAGCAGATGGTGGGACAGTCCCGACAAATGAAGACGGTGGGTTTGTGATGGCCTTGTGTATCTACATGTTAACGGTTTCGACGCCCCCAAACCATGCCCCACGACTGTCTCCCCCCCCCCCCCTCCCAACCCCCGCCCCCCCCCTCCCCCCCCCCCAACCAAGAATAATACAATCAGTGCAAAAAACTGAGGGCTTAAGTAAAAAACTCACGCACCTGGCCCTGAAGACTGTCCCCCACAAGGAGCGCCTTGCGAGTGCGTCCCCCAGCGCCGCGGCGAAGTCGTCCCCCAAGCCATTGCCTGCGGGTGAAGGGCCTAGGGTTTAGGGTTTAGGGTTTAGCGTTTAGCCCTAGAATCTCAAAGCTTGGACCTACAAACCTTCTACATACGCGCCTTGAAGTGCTCGATAAGAGCTATGCTGCGTTACTCCATGAGCTACTCTAGGTGGGCTCCACAAAACCCTAAGCCCCAAATCCAAGAGCCCCAAACTCTAAACGACCTACGAGGGCCTGAGACTTGGGTTAAGGGCGTTGGCTTCTAGGATTATAGATGTAGGGTTCTTCTTCTTCTTCTTATTACGACTATAATCTTGATGACTTTTTTGATTAGAGTTCTGGGATTCTGGGGTTCCAGGGTCTTGGGGTTTCGGCATCGAGGTTCGGTGCTCTGGTTGAGGACTCAAGAGTTGGCGCTTGGAATGTCGGATTTGGGGTGTCTTGGGATCTTGTGGGTTTAGAGTTTAGGGGTCGGTATTTTGGGAGTCATAGGGTGCGGGGTTTTTGGGGTGCAGGTTCTGCAAAATTAGGCGTCAGGGGCTCATGGAATGGGACCAAGAGTTGCCAGAAGCAACATCGTGTGGAACCTCAAGGGACGAAGGAAGCCATACACTCTGAAACCTGCAAACCCGAGACCCTAAACTCTTAAAAGTGCTCTCAACCCCAAAACGAAAGAACGTGGAGCTGAAGACGCAGTAACTCAAGCACACCGTGAACTGCACAAGGGGGCCGTTGATACAGTGGCATTAGATCTTTGGCAACCTCCCCCAAACCCTAAACCCTAAACCCTAAACCCCAAACCCCAAACCTAAACCCTAAACCCTAAACCCTACAAACAAACAAAAAAAAAAAAAACACAAAGGCTCTCGAAGGCCAGCGGCCACCGAGGTCCAGGTGCACCTTCAGGAGCTGCTCGCGCCTTGTCAAGGAACAAACTGGTGATACATAGTCGGGAACCTGTTACGCATGTATATAAGAAGAAGAAGAAGAACGAGAAGAAGAAGAAGAAGAATGAGAATAAGTTAAATACTAACAACAATAATAATAATAGTCATTATAATAAGAAAAATGAGAATAATAATGAGAATAAACACAGTACTACTAACAATAATAATAACAAAAATAATAACAATAATAATAGCAATAATCATCATAACGAATGGTGTACAATAGAGCATAGAACATACAGTATGCACGGTGCAATAAACAGAAAATGGTGAAGAGGAATAGATTACAAAAACACGCACATTGAGAACATGTGTATATATATATATATACACATATGAGTTCGAGAACAGAATATGGAAACTATGTGTATATATTTATTGATCTATCGATTTATTTAATTGTTGATATTTATGTATCATGTATATTACTACGAATGTTACAAGATCACACAGAAAAGGGTGCATCTACCTATATGTGATATATAATACACATATGTCTGTGCGTGGAGATAAGATACAAGATACTAGAAACAATATATAAACAGATTATATAATACATACCATTCTTGATGACACATGTTCTACAACGTATATATATAACGCCATGTAAATATACAATACGTTGTTTATTGCATATGGCATATATGTAGTATGCAGTATGTCATATGTCATGATGAATAGTATGTCGTCTATATGACATCATATCTATATAACGAAATATGTACTACATGGGGCGTTTACGAAGATCAGGGACCCTGAATATAAACCCCCAAATAGTAGGATTCCCTTTTAATAAGGACCAGAGTAAGGTACCCCCTTCTTCGGAAACCTCCAACATAGTATGGCATGCATAATCCTCAATATACAGGCCTCGCCTGTTGCATGGAATCGGAACCGGCTTAAGCTTGGTTTAAAGCCGGTACGGGGTCGGATAGCACAAACCAGCCCATTATTCGGCTTAAAGCGAGTTTTAAGGCGAACCTGATAGATACCAGCCGATGTCTCAATACAACATACAACTATATTCTACATGAACACATGGTGCAAAAAAAGTCCGCACTACGGTTTAGGGGTTTGGGGTTGACTTCCAAGTTCAAGTCCTGTGGATCCCCACCCAGTGACCTCCTGACGCCTAAAGCTACATCATCTGTCGTTTCAAGAAGGGCTTAGGGTTTAGGGTTTACGGTTTAGGGTTTAGGGCGTGCTCCCGGTTGAGCCCTAGGCCCTAGAGGTGGCGCCGAGGCGGAAAGCGCGCGTTCGCAGTCACATTCCAAACCTACAGACCCTCAGAGCCTAAACCACAAGAATCTTGACACCCTCTGTGCGCCCCACGCGCCTCTGAGCACAAAAGACCCGAGTCCTGGCCCAAAACCCTAAACCCTAAACCCTAAACCCTAAACCCTAAACCCTCAACCCTAAACCCTAAACCCTAAACCCTAAACCCTAAACCCTAAACCCTAAGCTAAGAACTCAGCCAAGCCGCCCTGCCAAGCCCTGCACGAGCGCGTCGGCACCGGCCTTCCCCAGCTTGCCATCGGCAAACTTCAGCTCCAGGATACCTGGGAAGTTCCCAACATGGGGGTATGGTTCACGGGCTTAGGGGTTTAGGGGTTAGGGTTTAGGGTTTAGGGTTTAGGGTTTAGGGTTTAGGGTTTAGGGCTACCCCTTTTTATACCCCGAATAGAATAGAATCCCTTTAAGGCGACCCCCCAAGAAGCTTACCCCTATTTTCGGAAACCCCCACCTGGGAGGGGGGGGGGTGGGGGGGTCTGTTGTTTTGGGTGTGGGCTTGTGTTGGGTCTTTGTAGAGTTGGGACTTTGAGTTGGGAGGCGCATGGGAATTCGGGTCGAGGGCCTTTTGGGCTGCGAGGCTAAGGGCTCCATGGGGCTTCAGTTCTTCAGGTTTAGTGCTGCAGGTTTAGGGTTTAGGGTTTAGGGTTTAGGGTTCAGGGTTTAGGGTTTAGGGTTTAGGGTTCAGGGTTCAGGGTTTAGGGTTTAGGGTTTAGGGTTTAGGGTTTAGGGTTTAGGGTTTAGGGTTTAGGGTTTAGGGTTTAGGGTTTAGGGTTTAGGGCTAACTTCATAAGCGCAAGTGAAGGTATCGCATTGGCATCACCAGGGGATATGGGGGTAAAGAGGCCCAGCGCCGGGCCGACAAGCGGCTCAGGCGAATTCCACTCACATGGTCGGCACGTCAAGAGCTTGCAAGAACCCTAAACCCTAAACCCTGAACCCTAAACCCTAAACCCTAAGCAGCAAGGGCAAGGCCAACAAGCACAGCAATGGCTGACAAGAGCACAGACCGAGACAGACTTGACTTAAGGACCGAGGCTGGATCCAGTAACAGCTGCCAAAGAACCTGCGAACATCTCCCTACCTTCCCCTAAACCCTAAACCCTAAACCCTAAACCCTAAACCCTAAACCCCAAACCCTAAACCCTAAACCCCAAGCCCTAAACCCCAAACCCTAAACCCTAAACCTCTGAACCCTGGGTGCCCGGCCCGTGCCCGGCCAGCTCCGGCAGTTGTGGAGGACCGGCCCCAGGAGCTGGGGGTCGTCGCACAGCTCCGTCTCGTGGAGGACGCGCGCCTCTGGGGAAGCTCTCAGGGGTTCTTAGGGTTGAGGGTTTTTCGGGTTTAGGGTCTTTCGGGTTTAGGGTTTAGGGTTTAGGGCTCGGGTTTAGGGTTTAGGGTTTAGGGTTGAGTCTAAGGGCATTTTGGCCCGCCCAAGAATGGGAGGGGGGGGGGGGGTTCAGAGACCAGGAGAGTTCAGCGTTTGGCTGCAACTTCTTAGTTCAGCCGGAGCATGGTCTCGCGTGCCGCCTTCTGTTGTTGTTTCTCATCATCATCATCATCGTCATCATCATCATCATCATCATCATCACCATCATCATCATCATCATTGGGCGATGGTAATCGCGAAGTTGCGATTGAAGAGCTGTGCTCCTGGTCTTCCAGCAAGAAGTGCTTGCGTTCGAGGATCATGCAGGTCTCCGTGTTGTGTCCATCCCCAGCATTCGTTAAGCTGATCCTGCTCAAGACTCTCATCACTGTTGCACCTCGTCATCGTCACGCCGAGAGCCACAGAATCACTGCTCATAAGGGCCTTTTCCGAGTTCATTCTGGTCGAGATGCTCGTGGTTCAGAGGGACGGAACCCGCGCCACCATGAGCCCTTTGGGGGGATCGGCTTCATGGGCCTGTGACCCTGGGCCCAAGCGAGGGTTAGTATCGAGGCCCTGGTCCGGCCTCCGTCTCGCAAGGGTCTCAGCCCCAACGCCACGACTCAGCCACAAAACCCTGAAAACCTGAAAAAATCACCCCCGGAAAGCGTAAAACCCAGCAACCCCCCGAACCCAAACATCCTCCAAGAGGTTTAGGGTTCAGAATTTAGGGTTTAAGGTTTAGGGATTAGCGTTTAGGGTTAGGGTTGAAGGTTCAGGGGTTAGGGGACAGAGGGGTTAGGGGTTAGGGTCTTAGGGATGGGTCCTCCATGAGCACGTTGCCATCCTCAGTGGCTTGGTCCAGCTTCTTTGCAAAGAATGGGGCCACCTTGCGGGGTCTCACTCTTGGTGAGCTATACAAGGGTTAGGGCTTAGGGTTTAGGGTTTGGGGTTTAGGCTTTAGGGTTTAGGGTTTAGGGTTTAGGTGCTACTCAGGTGTTAGGGCGGACTTTCAGCCACAAGGATGAAGAAGACTCTTCACCTCTGGATTCAAAGCCAAATCTTGGCAGCAAAGGTGCCCGCTGCTTGTATTACACGGTCATCACCCATGTGACCGATACCCCACAGCTTAGGGGCCTTGCCCTAAACCCTAAACCCTAAACCCTAAACCCCAAACCCTAAACCCTAAACCCTAAACCCTAAACCTCAAACCCTAAACCCTAAACCCTAAACCCTAAACCCTACAGTCTCCCGTCAAACCAAACGACATGAGACATGGCAGAGTAAGTCATGGACGGCTCATGGGCTGGCGGCGCGGAGTCGGCAGGTACGCGCAACCAAGCGGTTTAGGGTTTAGGGTTTAGGGTTTAGGGTTTAGGGTTTAGGGTTTAGGGTTTAGGGTTTGGGGTTTAAGGTTTAAGGTTTAGGGTGTATGGTTTGGGGTTTAGGGTTTAGGGTTTAGGGTTTAGGGTTTAGGGTTTAGGGTTTAGGGTTTAGGGGATGAATTTTCAACGCGAACTGACTCAGAAGCAGCTCGAAACGTATCGAAGCAGGCATCAAAAACACTTCCCTGGTCGCAGCTGACTCCACCAGACTGGAGGTCGGTAAGCCCTGCTCGAGAAGCCCCGCTAAGGAATCTAGACCTACTAACACTGACCCTTAAACCCTACACCCTGAACCCTGAACCCTGAACCCTAAACCCTAAACCCTAAACCCCTCAAGTGTGTGTGTGTGTGTGAATGCGTTTGGGGAGAAGAGGGGGTTACATCGCGGCATCCGAAAGGGTCCGAGAAGGCTTCGGGGAAATGCGCTCCAGCCTTCATCCGAAGTGGCATGAACCTGGGCTTTACTTGTCTTCTTCAGCTTGCTTGGTACGTATGCATGCAAATAAGTATGTAAATATGTAAGTAAATATGTATGTAAATATGTGTGTAAATATGTATGTAAATATGTATGTAAATATGCATGTAAATATGCAGGTAAATATGTACGTAAAATATGCTTGTATGTATGTAGTCGTTCATGATTCGAGGGCCGCTGCTTTTGTTAAAACAGTCTTGCACTTCGCCCTTGCACGCTCTTGCGACTCCCTAGCCTTAAGCACATTTCCATATGGAAGACATGCAGCGAACATGAAATCCTCACAATGGAAATCTAGAGAGCAAAAACAGGAATCCTTCAACATAACCTACACCCCAAGGGACTTAACTCAAGCCCTGCCCCGCTTTGCGTCGTAGTAGTAGTCGTCGTCGTCGTGGTGGTGGTGGCGTCGTCGTCGTCATCGTCGTCGTCGTATGAAGTAGTAAGTAGTTCAGCAAGTAGCAAGCAGAAAGTACCAAGCAGTAAGTAGCAAGCAGTAGAGATAGTAGAGGTAGCATTGGTAGTAGAGGTAGTAGAGGTAGTAGAAGTAGTAGTAGCAGCAGTAGCAGTAGTACTAGTGGTGGTGATGGGTCGTGGTCGTGGTAGTAGCAGCAATAGGAAGAACCAAGCCCCAGGGGCAGCGTGTAGGTCAGGAAGATCTGGAGCGCTGGGATGGCCAGGTTCAGCAGAGCGACGAGGATGGAGCCGCCCTCCCAATACAAGTACACCTCAGACGGGTTTGGGGCTTAGGGTTTAGGGTTTAGGGTTTAGGGTTTAGGGTTTAGGGTTTAGGGTTAGGGGTTTAGGGGTTTAGGGTTTAGGGTTTCAAAGGTTTAGGGTTTCAAGGGTTTAGGGTTCCAAGGGTTTAGGGTTCAGGGCTTCGGGTCAGCTTTTGCATGTCTCCAAGATTTTGTGCTCCAGGGTTATAGGCTTAGGTGTTGCCTGCCTTGTCGGGTTTCCTTCTAGGCGGGGAATCCTCAAGCGGAGGCTTAAGGTGCTGGGTTGGATAGAGCAAGTCACAAGCTTTGCTTGCGTAATTCGGTGCATTCCGGAAGGCAAGAGAAAGTTCTGACAGCTTCGCGCATGCAAGCAGCAAGCGAAATACAGTCCAATTAGCTCAGGACTGCAAGGAATAAAAAACGGCTCGACAGCCGCGTGTGCCGCTGACGCAGCCAAGGCACGATGGCAAAAAATGCCTGTGGAACATTCTCGTACAAGAGCAAGTGGCGCTTCGTTGGCGTCACCTGAGCTGAAAGCGCAGGGTGCGCTTTTGGCGCTTTGATCCGCTCCAGAAAACCCGACGTCGTCCGACAGCCCTGAGTGAATGAGCTTCGGCCTAGCGTATCCGTCTGCCTCCCGAATCATGATAACATGCTAGGTTCTGTGTTGTTCGGATTCATTGGTTAGCCTCGAAAACTCGCCCGCCTGCTTGTAGAGCAGCGGAAGGAAGGTGTCCGCTGCAGCGGAGCAGCTGCAGATGTTGAAGCTGTTAGTGCCCTCCGCTGCGATGCCATCGCTATCTGCTGCCATGGTTGGGGCCAGGAGTACGCACAAGTAGCACGCGATGAGATCTGCTACGCAGTTGTCATCGCGTGCAAAATACATGTGAATTAGTATGAGATACATCCAGCTTACGGCGCCGATGATTTTCAGCAGCCAGTATTCCGACTGGATACAAAGTGCACCAAAAAGGACGTCCTTCAGCGTATCGTACGCATCAGAGAAAATGGGCCATGTGCCCGCAATCGTGCATTCTGCGAAAACAGTGAGCGAAAACGTTCGCCGCCCCCGCAGCCGCAGCACCGCAACTGCAGCCTGCACTACCAGCCACGCGCAGTTCAGCGCGAAGAGGAGATAGTAGACCTCCCAGTCCAGGCCGGTGGTCTTTGAAAGGCGGTTCGTTGTGAGGCTTGCCTTGGCTCCAGGAAGTCATCGGAAGTTTAGGGTTTAGGGTTTAGGGTTTAGGGTTTAGGGTTTAGGGTTTAGGGTTCAGGGTTTAGGGTTTAGGGTTTAGGGTTTAGGGTTTAGGGTTTAGGGTTTAGGGTTTAGGGTTTAGGGTTTAGGGTTTAGGGTTTAGGGCCCGCTAGGACCCCTAAACGGTCCCAGGTTGCAACGGCCGCTGCTAAGCAAAAGCCGAGGTTAGCCCCGAACACGGCGGCCAGCAGCAGTCTCTGACTGGTCGCGCTTAGAGATCCCGCCACGGCTTGACCTGTGGCAGTCTGAGGTTGAAACTTTGGGCCGCCGAGCTCTTAGTTTGGTTCAGGTTTTGGGGACCGGCTTAACAGGGTTTTTGCATGGCTCGTTAAGGTTGCGGGTGTTAGGATCCAGGGCTTAGAGGCTTCGTACGGATTCCAAGGGAGATTGACGCTGCCTGTCCGCGAACTGTCCGAGTCCTCGTCATCAGAGATGCTGTTGTTCATGGGCTCGTAAGCATTACGGCTGTCCCCGCAGATTGCAGGACCAACTGTCATGACGGTCGTGCCCACCGCAAGCGTGGCCCCGTAGGTCAGCAGCACAGCAGACCTCGCTTGAACCAACTTCAGAGCTTCAGGTGCCCTGGCAACTAGGTATTTCCTTAAGGTGCTGGAGTTGGGGCTTATATAAAAGGGGTTTAAGGCCTTATAATGCCATATTCTTGGCCGACTGAAAGATAGACATTCCGGGCTGGAGCAATCGGGCCGCAGCTGCGACAGTGGGGTTTACGGTTTATAGGGTTTAGGGTTCAGGGTTCAGGGTTTAGGGTTTAGGGTTTAGGGTTTCGGGTTGAGGGCTCAGGGTTCCGGGTTCAGGGTCTAGGGTCTGCCGAGACTGGCGGCGTGTTGGATGGGAAAAGGAGGGGTCCCCCCCCCTCCCCCCCGTACCCCCCCCCCCCTACCCCCCCGCTACCCCCCCCCCTTCCTCACCCCCCACCCCACCCCCCCACCCCACCACCCCCCCCCCCACCCCCCCCCACCCCCCCCACCCCCCCAACCCCCACCCCCCCCCCCCCAACAGGAACCGCAAACCCCAAACCTTAAACTTGTTCTCCTGCGGGGTCGGCGGCTTCAGCCGGAGGCTCTTAAATTTAGGGTTCAGGGTTTAGGGTTTAGGGCTAGGGTTTAGGGTTTAGGGCTTAGGCTTGTGCCATGCCCGTCGACTCAGAGTTCTCACGTCCTTTGCTATGTGTCCTAAACTCTCGAAACTCTGGGGGTGCACCCTAACCCCTAAACCCTAAACCCCAAACCCCTAAGCTTTGGGATGTTCCCCCTACACTGATGGTCCTACATAGGGATTCTATTGGGGGGGGGTACTATAGTCCCTATTAAGGACTGTTAGTATAGGGGGGTACATCCCAACCTAAACTCCTCTAATACCCCCACCCCCCCCCCCAGCCCTCCACAACGAAAAAGCACAAGAGCCACAAAGCCATACGCTCTGACCTAAACTCCTCTATACCCCCAACCCCCCCCCCACCCCCCCACCCCCCACAACGAAAAAGCGCACATTCTAGCGCGGCTCTGGGGCAGGTAGTACCTGGCCCGGTGCTCCCGCTCCCTGGAGGGCATCTGCGCGATCTCCTCCAAGAGAGGTGCTGTCAAGGGCCCAAGGTTTGGGGATCAGAGCTGCGGTTTAGGGTTTAGGGTTTAGGGTTTAGGGTTTAGGGTTGAGGGTTGAGGGTTGAGGGTTTAGGGTTCAGGGTTTAGGGCCTGACCCCGAAAAGGCCCCAAGGCCTCCAATCCTAGACCCCAAAAGCCTGACGAACGGGCTTGGGGCCCTACACCAAACCCGCTGCACGTTCCTCTGTGGTCGGGAGCAGTAGACACGGGGCGTCCACCCACATATCCTCGGGCACGCGGTGGTGGCGAAAGAGCTGCTGGCTGATGCCCACGACGTCCGGCAGCATCCTTGGGGGGGCGACCCCTCGTCAAACCCTGCAAAACACTCAAACCTTTCAACTTCTAACGTTTGGTCTCGGGCTTGGGACCTTCGGATTTGGGGCTTAGGATTCCTACGGTTGGCTTTGGGTTTGAGAGTTTGCGCGCTTGGGGGGTTCAGGGCTTTAGGGCTGCAGGGCTTCAAGGCTTCTAGGGCATAGGGCTTGAGAGGTCGGGGGGAATCGACACCCTGCAGGCAAAACAACCTATCTGCCAGGCTTCATAGTGCCCCGTCACGTAGCCAGCTCAGGGTTCGTAGCTCGTAGTTCAACTTTCAGGGTTTGAGGGTTCACCCTGACGACACCCCAACGCTCCGCGTCCTCGACTCTGAAACCTACACCCTAAACCCTAAACCCTAAACCCTAAACCCTAAACCCTAAACCCTAAACCTAAACCCTAAAACCTAAACCCTTTGCTTCATCGGGGCCAGGCGTCATGCAACGGCATATCACCGGGCAAGCAAGCGCCACCAAGATCGCTACAAGGGCCATGGCCGCCCAAAGGCTGCTAGGGTTTACTAGGGTTTACTAGGGTTTACTAGGGTTTACTAGGGTTTAGGGTTTGGGGTTTAGGGGTTTAAGGGTTTAGGGGCTTAAGGGTTTAAGGGTTTACGGGTTTAAGGGTTTAAGGGTTTAAGGGTTGAAGGGTTTAAGGGTTTGAGGGTTTGAGGGCTTAGGGTTTAGGGGTTTAGGGTTTAGGGTGGGGAGCGTTTCCCCTGTCGTGCTTTAGGCGGAGAGCAGCTCATGCAGGGCTCACGGTGGAGGCGTTGGGGCTTGGGGCATAGGTTTCGGGTTGACGAAACGGACGCTTGAGGGCGGCGGTGGTATTCACGATTTCCGACTTGGAAGCCTTTAGGGTTTAGGGTTTAGGGTTTAGGGTTTAGGGTTTGGGGTTTGGGGTTTGGGGTTTGGGGTTTGGGGTTTGGGGTTTGGGGTTTGGGGTTTGGGGTTTGGGGTTTGGGGTTTGGGGTTTGGGGTGTATAGAAGGGAAGCTCGCTGGTGCTAAAGCACCCGGGCCGCTCGCTTGCGTTAGCATGTAGTCCTTTCCCAACCACCCAAACTATTCTCATATTATAGGGTTTAGGGTTCACCCCCCAATCCCCCCTCAAGGGGGGCTTTCTTGCTTTTCACAGAGAAGAGCAGGGTGGGGCCGGTTTAGGGGTTTAGGGGTTTAGGGGGTTTAGGGGTTTAGGGGTTTAGGGGTTTAGGCTTGTGTGTGTGTGTGTGTGCGCTTCGGGTTTCGAGTATAGGGTTTAGGGTTCTAGGGCTCGGGCTTTAGGGTTAAGGGTTTATGTAGGGTGGAGGGTTTCGGGTTTCGGGTGTCGGGTTTAAGGTAACCTTAGGAAAGCTTAGGGAGTTTTAGGGAGTTGTGCGGAGTACTCGGAACCCTTTATACCCCCCTTGAACCCCCCTCCCTTCAGAACCTTATACTAACCATACGCTGTAGCTAGGGTTTTCTGGGGGCATGACATGGGGGGTAGATCTGCAGGTCCTTCTGGGAAAGCATCTTGGGTTCCTATGCGTTTTTGAAGGAAATATAGGGTCATTTTGGGAAACCGATATTTGTGATCAACTACCATACGGATTGTTGCTCTGAGTCCGACTCGCATCTTTCGGTGTTGGCTACCATGTTGGCAGTCGGCGGGCGCCATCACTTTGGACGCGCAAGGCTTAAAACTGTCTACGGCCACTAGCGGCCGTTTGTTTCCATTCCAAAGACACCTTCCTTACACAGACCGACGCCCTTGTGGGGGGGTCCTGTCAATAAAGGTAGCCTGTGAGAGTTAGGGGGGCCCGAACGTGAATGCAGGCTTCCGTTTGCCGTGGCGAATACAACAGCAGGGTGAAAGGGAGTGAGTTGTAGGTTCCGGGTGCTAGTACTCCTTGTCCCATGAAGTGCCCATGAAGGGTCGTTTTCTTTGATGCTAACTCACGGAAACACTGTCAAAAGCACCAACAACGCACCCCCTTCTGTGCCCCTGTGCTCCTCTTGGAGCCGGAGCTGATGGACACCGCGCCGGCGCAACGCGTGAGGCGGTGGCGCAGAGCGCAAGTAGAGGGAGCAGCTTCTGGGCCGCGACGGGCACATCTGGTCCACCTTTGGGCGTAGGTCTGGTTTTCCAGGTTGGCCCACTGTAGCTGTGCTGACTCTGAGCTACTAGCAACTGCATTTGGCAGCGTGCTCAGGGCCAAAGCGGTTGACGCGGGCCCGCAAATTCAGAAACCCGCGCTGCTCCTCTTTGTCCAGATCTCCCTGGTGAGGAACACGGGTATCGGGCCGACATTGGATCGAGGAGGAGGAGTCCGTATAGATTGAGCATCTTCCACAGAAAATCTGATTGCTTTCCTTCGGCTTCTGGCACGCAAGGATGCTCCGACACAACTATAAAAATTCCCGGTGTGCGTGTCCCATATCTGGAAATCATGGGTGTCTCTGGCTGCAGGAGCACAGTTGTCCCATGCGAAGATCGAGGTGGCCGTGAGTTCACAAGCTCTGCGGCAGTCAGGCTCGTGGGTGTGCGTGGCTCGGTCTTGCTGTGACTTTGTGGTACCTGAGTTATTGGACTGTCGAACTCGAAATCGAAATCACAGTACTTCTAGGCTTTCAGCCCGAATAATCCCTTCCCCCGAATATGAAACCCCCCCCTACCCCCTGGCAGTAAATACCCCAATTATAGTCATATTAGAGTATGTGGCATGGATATTTAGTCTTGGGGGGTAGTGGGGGGGTGTAATACTAGGGGGAGGGGATTAAAACCCGAAAGGCTTCTCCAAGTCCAACCCAGCGGCCAGTCATCCCCAACTCTCAACAGGAACCTGGCATTGAACTCTCGCTCCTGGACGGCCCAGAAAGAGACTTCGCAGAAGCTGGGCTTTGGCAGCCGGACGTCGGAGAGGCTGACGCTCTCAGACCTAGGATTCGCACCGGGTTCTGTTGGGGTTTAGGGGTGAGGGCGCATGGGGGCACTGCTTCGTGCCCATTATGTCTTAATTGGGCAACCACAGTGCTTAAAACTTGGACGTAGCTACGGTACAACTGTCGGAGGAAAAATCCGTCCCCTCAAACCTCAACCCCAAAACCAAAAAACCCTAAACCCTAAACCCTAAACCCTAAACCCCTAAAACCTAAGCGTGCCATGCCCAAGCCAAAGGCGTCATCGACCGCAGCGGTCGGAGCCCGGTCAGGGGATTCGGTGCCTGGCCCTGCAAGGAGCAGCAGCTCGTCAGGCAAGCCTGCCATGGGTGCGCCTCCGGGAAGAACAACGTTTGGGGTTTAGGGTTTAGGGTTTGGGGTTTAGGGTTTCGGGTTTAGGTTTAGGGTTTAGGGTTCAGGGTGTAGGGTTTAGGGTTTAGGGTTTAGTGTTTAGGGTTTAGGGTTTAGGGTGTAGGTTTTAGGGTTTAGGGTTTAGGGTTTAGGGTTTAGGGTTTGGGGTTTAGGGTTTAGGGTTGTTTAGGGTTTAGGGGCAAGAGCTTAGTTAAGGTTTTGGGATCTGGGCTACCTAGACACCAAAAGGGGGTGCCCTCTCTCGTTCAAAGAGGGCCTAAAGCCTGAAATGAGAAACGCTCCACCCCCAGCACGAGCGACAAAAACTCTAGCTGCTGGCTGCGCATTGAGGGTTTAGGGTTTTGGCCGACCCGAGTTGCATCGGGCGAAGTTTAGGGGTTTCGGAAACTCTAAACCTCAAACCCCAAACCCTAAACCACATGGCTGTGGACTCAGGGATTCGGGTCGTTAGGGTCTCCTCCGTCTCCTCCTTCCCATCGGGCTCGAGGTCCTCCTGTAATCGCTCTTTGGGAGTCTGGAAAAAAATACACACAAGCCTGGTATGATATGACATGGCATAGTAGAACGTAGCAGAACATAGTATAACATAGTCTAACATAGTATAACAGAGCATAACATGGTATAACCTGGTATAACATAGTATAACATAGTATAACATGGTGGTAGAACAGACAAAAGCACAATATAGCATCGCAAAACATACAGTTGCATACTTAAACACAATATGGCAGAACCCAAGATACCACAAAATAATATAACATAACATGGCATAACAAAACAGAACATGACATAACCACAACGTAACACAACACAACACAACACAACACAACACAACACAACACAACACAACATAACATAACATAACATAACATAACATGGCATAATATCACATTACATAACATCGCATACATACATAACCATAACCATAAACATAAACATACCATAACGTAACGTCACAAAACAGAACATAACATAACATAACACAATATAACATAACATAACGATAACCATAACATAACCATAACCATAACATAACCATAACATAACTATAGCCATAACCATAAGCATAACCATAACCATAACCATAACCATAACCATAACCATAACCATAACCATAACCATAACCATAACCATAACATAACATGACATAACACAACACAACACGACACGACACAACACAGCACAGCACAGCACAGCACGGCATAACATAACATAACATAACATAACATAACATCACATCACACAAGGCAACATAACATCATTGTAGCATAATACGCGCCTGAGATTCCGGGGGGCTGTGGGGTTGAGGCGCTTGGGTGCTTGGGTTCAGGATTAGGGTTTTGGGTTTAGGGTTTAGGGTTTGGGGCTTGGGTTTGCTTGGGGGGGGTAGGGGGGTGGGGGGGATATGTCTATACCCACAACATAAACCTAAGTACCAAGCCCAAGCATAAGAGCCCAAACCCGAAACCCAGCGCAGCAGGAGCTCCTGCCCAAGCTCCAGATCCTCCTGGTCACCTGGAGCATGGACTCATTCCATTCGGGCTTTGGGCCTTCGGAGCTAGGGATTGAGGTTTTAGGGTTTAGGGTTTAGGGCTTAGGGTTTAGGGCTTAGGGTTTAGGGCTTCAGGTTGTTGAGGCTTCGGGAGCTGGAGTCTCAAGGATTGGTTTCGATGAACACAACTCAAAAGGGGCATTACAAAAGCTTGAAACAACTGCACTGGACTTCCAAAAGCAATCCGCCCCGGCTTCTGGCCGAGGCGAAGTCTAGAACAAACACCCCCAGGTCAGAGATCACCCTAAACCCTAAACCCTAAACCCTAAACCCTAAACCCTAAACCCTAAACCCTAAACCCTAAACCCTAAACCCTAAACCCTAAACCCTAAACCCCCCCCCTCCCTTTCCGCGTGGGACCTGTCGGAACCATCCTTGGACCCGCCGCCGCCCGGACGACCTTTGCGACCCCCTTCAAAATCCCCAACCCCCCCCCACCCCCCCCAAACCCTCCTCCCTCCTGAACTCGCGACGTGCGCCGTGCTTCAGCAAGTGACACATTGACTTGGCCTTCCTTCGTCCGCTACACCCCGCAATGGGCCAGCCCGGCTGCCGAGGCGTTGTTCAAGCGTTTGCAACTCCAAGGGTCTACGCAGAGGTGCGAATTGGATCTTCCGCGGGTCTAAACGGGGCCTTCGCCCAAAACCCTAAACCCTAAACCCTAAACCCTAAACCTTGATCCGCAGCTGAGTCGCGGAAGCAGGGCCCGAATGAGTCCCCGGCCCGCCAGGGCCTTGGGAAAAGTGTGCTGCGCCCAGGGTCGACCATCACCTGGGTTTTCGGAAGCTCCCACAAGGCGTGTAGGCTTCGGGACTTGACGGCTTAGGGTGTGTGGGCTTTGAGGAGTGCCAAAACGGGTGCCGTGTTTGCCTTGAACCCCGAAAACCCTAACATGCACCCCAAAACGCGAGCAAAGCCCATGACCCCCCCAACCCTGAACCCCCCCAACCCTGAACCCCCTAAACCCTAAACCCTAAACCCTAAACCCTAAACCCTAAACCCTAAACCCTAAACCCTAAACCCTAAACCCCAATCTTCTCACGCAGCCACGGAGAAGTTCTTGACGAAGCCCGGGGAGCTGCACCTTCGGGCTGTGTGACTTGGGTTGAGGGGTGCAGGGTTTAAACCCTGAATAGGGTTTAGGGTTTAGGGTTTGGGGTTTAGGGTTTAGGGTTTAGGGTTTAGGGTTTAGGGTTTAGGGTTTAGGGTTTAGGGTTCAGAGTTCAGGGTTTCAGGGTTTCCGGGGCCTAGAGGTCCTCAACCCCCGTAGTTAGTTGAGATTCGGGGTTTTGGGAGCTTTTCTGTGAAGGCCAGGATAGTGATTAGTTTCAAGTGCTTCGCACTACGCGAACTGCAGTTCTGTCCGCTGCATAGCGCGGAAATGCAATCCAAGAGCGAAAGAATGCGAGAAAGCAACAGGCTTGCTATGATGGATCTGTGAGAAGGCTAAGGAAAAGAGAGGGTTGCCAGCTGGCTTCTTATTGTTCATCCCTATAAGCATGAGTCGTTTCAAGTTTTTTTTTGCAAACTTAAGCCCGAAGACTTCAAACCCTAGGCGCCAAGAATCAAGACATGTGCATGTCTGCATGGCCCCCCTCATGCGTGCAGACTGTCAACAACCCTAAACCCTAAACCCTAAAACCTAAACCCTAAACCCTAAAGACCCTAAACCCTAAACCCTAAAAACCCTAAACCCTAAACCCCAAACCCTAAACCCTAAACCCCAAACACCAACAAGGTGCCTGGCCACGTTCCCCAGGTGGAGCTTCAGCTGGTGGGGGTCGATGCGGGCCTCCTCGATGCCCAGGGTGTCGCCGATCAGGCGGCTCACCTGCGGGCCAGGCTGGGGTCTCAAAGCTCGGAGGGCAGAGGGGCGGAGGGGGAGGTGACCTTTAGAATTCGTACATTTATGTATGTATGTGTATATATATATATGTGTAAAGCATACATATTAATATATATATATATATATATATATCTATCTATCTATCTATCAACATATTATGTTTCGTCACACAAGGATCCAGAGGGGGTCGGGGAGGCCCTTATCATTTAAGGCACATGAAGAGTCTTTCTCGGGGGGGAAGCATGTTTTCGGGGCGAAGGTGGGCCCTTGAGTGCCGCTCCCTTACACCGCCCTAAGTCACGATGATATCAGGAACCATGAGATTGTCTTGAAGTGCGTAAATGCGATTGTGGCTGCTATTAGGACCAGCTAAGGGTTTAGGGTTTAGGGTTCCGGGTTTAGGGTTCAGGGTTCAGGGCTCAGGTTTAGGGTTCTTTCCGATTCACAGCTCTGATGTTACTGCCTGAACTTACAGTCGAGACATTGGTAGGGGTATCACATGTTTCAGGTGAGGCTTTCTAAGGTGTTGGCCAAGGGCTCGGCTTTGTAGGGCCGTTTAGGCTTTGTACGCTTTGGGGACGGGCAGCGGTGCCGGCGGAGTTGCTTGCCATGAACCCTAAAGCATAAATCTACCCACCCGCCCTTCAACCCGAAACCCGACACCCGAAACCCTAGAACCCTAAACGCTAATTCCTTAAAAAACCGAGCCGCGCCCACCCCCAAAGAAACAGCACGTGCTGGCGGGCCCAATCGCCTGGAAGACCCGTAGGGCGCCCACCCTCAAAGTCACCTTCACGTCCACCTGGTAGGCTCCCCAACTGAGGGTTTGGGGTTTAGGGTTCAGGGTTTGGGATTTAGGGTTTGGGGTTTGGGGTTTGGGGTTTGGGGTTCAGGGTGACAGGGGCCCGTTGTTGGGGCTACTTGCCATAATTATTCGAGCCAGAAAATCTACGGGACACCCAACAAGAGGGACCGCAACTCACAGAACCGTAAACCCTAAACCCTAAACCCTAAACCCTAAACCCTAAACCCTAAACCCTAAACCCTAAACCCTAAACCCTAAACCCTAAACCCTGAACCCTCCCGAAACCTTCAGGTGTTCTTGAGAAAGAACCGTAAACCTAAGGGTTTCGCGTTTTTAGGGGGGTGCAAGTCCAAACCTGCCTTTGCAGCTAGTTGCTGCCTGATAGGCTGGGTTTTGGGGCAACCCCAGGACCCCAAAGCCCAATTCAAAGGACAATCAGCAAAAGACTTGGGGGGGAGCCCTGGAAGTCTGAATCTGCCAGTCCGGCGAAGCTGCATCCTAAACCCTAAACCCTACCGGGGGAACCCCCAGAAGGAACTTGTTCGGATATCCACAGGATCTCTGGATATTGCAATAGACCCCCAAAAAAATCCAAGAAATGGCATAGTTGCTGAGGTTGCTTCTGCTGTAATCACGCAAAATGAAGCTTGGGAGGCTCAATGGGGTTTATAGTCTGACGAGAAGGGGTTGAAGCTCCTAGATCCCATGCAATGGGCATGTGCTTGGAAAACCACAAAAACATTGATGGGGGCAGCCGGCGCAGCAATTCTGCTCAATATGATTCGTATGAATATCTCTTTCTGGAGATCGACGCGGTTTAGGGTTTAGGGTTGAATTAAAGGGTTTAGGGTTTAGGGTTTATAGGGTCTATAGGGTTGATAGGGTTTATACGGTTTATAGGTTTAGGGTTTATAGGGTTTATATATAGGGTTTATATCGGGTTTATAGGGTTTATAGGTTTATATAGGGTTTATATAGGGTTTATAGGGTTTAGGGTTTCGGGTGAAAGTGCTTAGGGTTTATAAGTTGTAAGTCAGTCTTGAAAGTGATAAGGGAGTATAGGGTTAAAAACTGTTTTGGTGTCAGTTTTGAGCCCAGCAGACCATATGCTACACAGCTACCGACAGGGGCAAGTGGAATCCAAAAAAAGCCGTGAAAACCCCAAAAAAACCCAGAAAAAACCCAAAAAAAGGCAGACTCCAAAAACACAGGGCAAACCCAAAAAAAAGCGTAAAGCGTAGCAACTCCGTAAAAACCCGTGCGATCCCCAAAAAAAGGCGTGCAAAACCCGTAACCGAAATCCAAAAAAACCCGAAAAAACTCCAAAAAATGCCGTGCACCCGACGCCGAAAAATCTTACCATTCTGAGCTCAAGTTTTGTGTCTCACCGCTCTTTGGGAGATGAACCCGCCCGCCACGGCTTTGAATTCCGCCCTCAGTGAACTTTACACGTCGGACATGTGGCTTCCGTCAGAGCAGGCATCCAGAGTTGCACAGCTCGGTCTTCATTTTCTCAGGCCTTCGTCACCTAACAAGAATACTTTGGATGCAAAACTTGCCGTGCCACGGTTTGCATTGTTCCCAAAGCACCATATGGTGTTTCATGCACTCCAGGGCTTGCTTTTTGCATCAATACAGTTTCAATCCTGTCTGTGAGGACAGGACGAGGATTTTGTAGGGCGAATCAGCCGTGCAACGAGGAGGGCGGAACTCGTGCTGTGATATCAGCCTCGCTTCGGCGGTATTTGGTACGTTGCCACGCCGTTTGGAGGCATGAGCTGTATTAGGCGACGGCAAGAGATGGAAAGAGTCTGAACGTTTGCATTTACACCTAGGTGTGTGAATTCCTAGATTTTTCCAGAATCTCTAGGTTTTTACCAATGGTTTGGCTTTTGGTGAAATATCTGGGTTTTTAGGCTTACTCTGAGAAATTCTCGACCCAGGGCTCCCCTGGTAATCCCTAAACCCTACACCCCAAACCCTAAACCCTAAAGCCTAAACCCTAAACCCTAAACCCTAATTAAACCCGAATTTAACCCTAAACCCTAAACCCCTCATTTCCGGGGAGCTGCATCCTCACAGGGCAGCAGCAGCCCCAGGTGCTGGCGCAGCTTCACCGCCCCTTGCTGTAGGCGCTCCAGCACCTGCACCTGAGAACGCGGAGGACGCAGAAGATGCCGACGGGTTTAGGGTTTAGGGTTTAGGGCTTCGGGCTTAGGGCTTAGGGTTTAGGGTTTAGGGTTTAGGGTTTAGGGTTTCGTACGACGAGTATGTCGGCATGACCAGCGGTGATTGAAAGCCAACAATCGGGCATCCGCAGTAGTCATCAACAAGAGCCAAATCCCGAACCCTAAACCCCCGAGACTCCAGCACCTCTTAGTTGAGGAACGTATCAGGATCTCAAGAACTCTTCACCCTAAAACCCCAAACCCTAAACCCAAAACCCCAAACCCTGAACCCCAAACCCTAAACCCTAAACCCCAAACCCCAAACCCTAAACCCGGAATTAAAGAGAACAGAAGAGTCTCGGCTCATCTGAGCCTGCGCGCCTCCACCTGATGAGGGAAGATGAAGGCGCGGGGCTTCCGCTGCACGGCCAAGGTGACCCGGAGCCTCAACTCTAGGGTTTAGGGTTTAGGGTTTAGGGTGTAGGGTTTAGGGTTTAGGGTTTAGGGTTTAGGGATTAGGGTTTGGGGTTTGGGTAGGGATTAGGGTTAAGGGTTTAGGGTCTGAGGTTTGGGGTTTGGGGTTTAGGTAGGGTCTCGGGTTCCCTACCGCACTTGTTTCAAGCGCGATCGAGGCTTAAAAGTTGGAAAAATAAGTCGTCTGGGATCGGGCGTTGCAACCCGCAAGGCCCGAGCTCAAAAAAACAAGAATGTACCCCTGAAACCCTAGAGATCTATAAGCCCCTACATCCCCAAAGCCCGATAGGCCCGGGAGCCGGAAAAATGCCCAAAGCCCGAAACACTCCGAAACCCTAAACCCTAACCCCTAAACCCTAAACCCCTTCCTGAACCCCCGGATTCCTCAAACCTTGCAGCCCCTGCATCCCTCCAGGTCCAAGGACCCCAAAACTAAAAAGCCCTGCAGCCCCTAAACCCTAAACCCTCAACCCTCAACCCTAAACCCTAAACCCAAAGGACCGAAAAGGCTCTCAAACTGAATGTCGGCCCCTATAGCTCCAGCATCCCACGCCTGCCCTAAACCCTCAGGAAGAAACATCACCGAAACCCAACTGAGCTGTAAGCTCCCTATAAACTATCAAGATCCTAAAACCCCAAAAAGCCTCAACGACCGACCCCAAGACCCCTGCAAAGCCTCAACCCCTTCACCCAATAAGACCCTCAGAAGCCCAAATCCTCGCAAGCGTACCCTAGACATCCCCTGAGCCCTGAGACCCTAAACTACCCTAGACCCTGAGACCCTACACCCCATAAACGCCAGTTACCCTAAGCCCTAAGCCCCTAAACCCTAAACCCTAAAAAATGCAAGCCTAGGGACGGACGTCTGCGCTCCGAGCCCCATCTCACCTCGCGGCGTTCGCTTTCCACAGGCGCTTGCCAGGCCTGGGCTCTTTGAACGGCCCCTTTGGGGTTTTGTAGGGTTTAGGGCTTAGGGTTTCGGATGTGGGTTTTAATTAGGGTCCAGGTGGTGCTTTCTGTGTGTGTGTAGGGGAGTGGTGTGTGTAGGGGGGTGGCGCACGTGCGCATGCGCGTGCGCAAGTGCAAGTGCATGCACAAGTGCAGGTGCAGTGCAAGTGTGCAGGTGCGCGAGCGCGTGCGCGAGCGCGTGCGCGTGCGCGTGCGCGAGCCCGCGCGAGTGTGTGAGCGTGCGCCTGCTGCGTTCGGTTGCGCGTGCGCGTGTTCGTGTGCCGTGTGCGCGTGCGCGTGCGTGTGGTTGTGCGTGTGCGTGTGCGTGTGATTGTGCGTATATGCGTGTGCGGGGCAAGGGGTTCTGGTACGTGTGTTGTTGTTGTTCCTCCTTTTTCGTCGCATGGGGGTTAAGGGCGCATAAGGGCGCAAGGACCAGTCCGCGGTCCTGCAATGCCATCTCACGTGCCTTTACCTGCAATTCCCCACGGCGGAGCTCGCTCAGGTCGAGACGTTGCTGAGTGCACAGCTGGGGGCGCCGAATGCAAGCGCCACGACAGGCGATGGTCCGCTCTGACATGTTGCTCTGGACTAGGCAGGGCTTCGCGTGTTCCATTTTGGGAGCCAACCGGCGGCTTCTACGTTTTGCATCGCCAGAAGTGCCGCTTGGAAGGCCGCAAGCGCTGCCTTCGTTGCTACGCTTGGGCTGACACGGTAAGGGTGGAAAGTCTGTAGGGGCGTGGAGGTTTTAGGGTCTGGGGAGTTCCGGCGCCCCTTGACAATGAAGGTCGCGGTGGGCATCCTGCATTCAGCGATCCCGGTACCCCTTGAAGTAGGACCGTATCTAAGGTACTCATCAACCCCACTTAGAACTACATGTGAACCTTCAAGCCCTGACCAACCACATGTCGGTGAAGACAACGGACCGGAAGCTGCGCTGCCACCCGAAGCCCCATCTCAATCTGCCACGTGAGGGCACGCGGCACGCGTAATGCGGAGGACGCGCACCCGTAATATAGGGGCCTGAGTAATTAGAATAGGGTTGCGGCTTGGGGGCTTGTATAGTATAGATATTTAGGGACCCTGAGGGAATGCTATTGTTAGAACAGGGTTTGGGGGGTGTTTATGGTATAAATATTTCGGGACCCTAAGGGAATACCATTGAAGGTAGCCAGGGAGATCTTATCGTATAGATATTTCGTGACTCTAAGGGAATACCATTATTAGCATAGGGTTTTCGGGACCCTATAGGGGAATACCCTTGAAGGGAGCCAGGGAACGGAGATGCAACCTTCCGCCTCGAGCTCCGCCGAGAAGTCGGCGCGCTCCTCGAGGAAGTGCCCCAGTGGCAAGGCCAGGGGCTCCCAGACCAGGATCCGAGCATCCTTTTGTGAAAAGGCTTAGGGTTTAGGGTTTAGGGTTTAGGGTTTCGGGTTTCGGGTTTCGGGTTTAGGGTTTAGGGTTTAGGGTTTAGGGTTTAGGGTTTAGGGTTTAGGGTTTGGGTTTGGGTTTTGGGTTTAGGGTTTAGGGTTTGGAGGGGTTCGCAGGGCTTTTATAAGGTTTGGTGTGGGGCCTATACGCGCCTGAGGTTGTTCAAGCTTGAGATTTTTCAGGTTTCTGGAGGGGGTTAAAAGTTCAACAGGCTCAGGTTTAGAAGGTTAGAAGGTTTGGTTTGACTGGAGGACTGGGCTTTGGAGGCTTTTGTTTTTTTTGCTTCTTTTTTTGGGGGGGCGGGGTGGGGGGGGGGGGGGGGGGGGGGGGGGGGGGGGGGTGGGGTGGTATTTTGCACAATAACTTAAGCACCTTGAGGGGTTTTGGGGCTTAGAGCAAGGGGGTCCTTGGGAACTTTAGTGGTCCAGGATTTCAGGACAGTACCGGGCTTAGGGGCCATAAGCCCTCGACCTTAAAACCCTTCAACCCTAAAACCCCAAAGCCCCCTAGACCCTAAACTTGCCCTAAACCCCAAACCCCCCCCCAACCCTAAACCCTAAATCCTACACCCCCCCCAACGCTGCACCCCGAACCACCCCAAACCTTAACGTCGTGATCCAGGCTTCTGGAAGATGGAGCTCCACAAGGAGCTCCCTCCCCGCAGGGCTGGCTTGCCTTGGTGAGTTCATCACATAGTGGCCGTAGGGTTAGTGGCCGTAGGGTGTAGGGTTTGGGGTTTTTGGGGTTTTGGGGGCTTTTTGGGTTTTTGGGGTTTAGGCTTTAGGGCTTAGGGTTTAGGGTTTAGGGTTACTACTCGCTGAGGCTTCGGGGGCTTAGGGTTTACGATTGCGTTTGGCGGGGGAACAGGATCTACACGGCATGCTTCAGCACGGTAAAGATCACAAGCCGACTAGTCCCACAGGTTCTGTAGCTACGAAGACCTAGCAGCAAGGTCAGGGTGGCGAGCCTTGGGCGTTGCAGGCTCCCTAAGCCCTAAGCACTAAACCCCTAAGTTCCCGAAACCCTCCCTTCCATGGCGAACCCCGTAAAGACCACAGAAGGAACAAAGGCGCCTTGCGCCATTTTGGTTTAGGGGGGTTTAGGGCTTAGGGGGCATGTAAAATCTTATCGGTGGATTTCGAAATTTCAAATTTCAACTTTCTAGCGATTTGGGAAAGTACCTAACAAAGCATTCTCCGTAGGGAGGAAAAGTGCTATTTTCGGCCTTTTGAACCACCATATCTCCGCAAGGATGTCGGCGATACTGGAATGGGCATTCCAAAAAATTGGTCCAGGCTCTCTCTCTTTCTACCTCTCTCTCTCTCTCTCTCTCCAGGGGCTTTGGGCTTTCAGAGTTGAGGGCTTCAGGCTACAGGGAGTTTGGGGGTTTGGAGGCTTTGGGCTAAGAGGGTGGAGGCTTCAAGAGGCGAGTTGCAGGACGCACGCGAACCTTTCGCCCATGTGCGCCATGCCAAGCCATGGGAAGTTGGGGACCAGGCAGGCCGGCGACATCTTCACGGGTTGCCTGGGCGTGGGGTTGGAGTTCGGGGTTGCTGAGCACTGAGACGGCATGCGCACAACCTGAAGCCTAAAACAACCCTAGGCTCTAAGCCCCGAACCTTGAGCCCCGGAACCCTGAACCGCTGAACGGTTTGGGCCTGCAAGACTGAGCCGGAACACGATATACACCTTATAATCGTCCTAGGCCCTGAACCTCGAATTCCGTCCAGATGCAAGATTCGCACCACATCCACGCCCATGCCGCCGCAGGCTCTCCCAGAGTACGGGGACAGAACTGCCAGGTCCTCCATCCGGCATCTTACTTTTAGGGTTTAGGGTTTAGGGTTTAGGGTTTAGGGTTTAGGGTTTAGGGTTTAGGGTTTAGGGTTACTCTACTCCCTGGTCTGTAAACCCTGTAGAGGTTTCTAAACCTCCTGGGTCTGCCAAGTACCAATCCAAAGCCCTGAACTCCTTCTCACCCTTTCAACGCTACTTTGGAATAGACCCTGGCAAAAAAGTATATACTTTTTTAGGTATAAGTAGCTATAATACGAACCCAGAACCAAAAAGGTATATTTTAAAGGGCTTCGGGCTTAAGGCTTCGCAAACCCTAAACCCCAAACCCTACACCCTACACCCTACACCCTAAACCCTAAACCCTAAACCCTCAACCCCCCCCCCCCCCCCAAAGCAGGCCTTGAGGGTGGCCAGCAAACCGAAGGGAGGCAGCCGCCTGCTTGGGGCACCCAGTGCGAGGGTCCGCACCTCCCCCTCCAGGCCGATCTCAAGCATCTCCTTTGGGTTGCTTAGGGCCTCTTAGGGTTTAGGGTTTAGGGTTTAGGGTTTTGGGTTTTGGGTTTTGGGTTTGGGGTTTTGGGCTTTGGGTCTTGAGGTTAGGTTTTAGGGTTTAGGGTTTAGGGTTTAGGGTTTAGGGTTTGGGGTTTAGGGTTTAAGGTTTAGGGTTTAGGGTTTAGGGTTTAGGGTTTAGGGCTTAGGGTTTCGGGTTTGGGGTTTAGGTTTTGGGTTTTAGGTTTTAGGGTTTAGGGTCTTCGGGTTTTGTGGTTTTGGCTTTGGGGCTCTAAGGCCTGCTTTAAGGCATTAGGGTTTTTGACGGCGTAGAGTGTGTCCTTGGCGCAGGCAGCCCAGTACCCCGTCAAGTAAGGAATGGACTTAAACGATATAGAGAAGCCCGCAGGCTGTTGCAAAGAACCTTCAATTCGTTCTCCTGCTCCGAAAAATTAGCAGGGTCCTGGGCTTCTTCAACTGTTCTTAGTACCCTTCTAGCAACACTTAGCCATCGAACTCTTGAAGAAGTCTCTCCCAAAAACGAAGTTTAGGGGGTCTCGGGCTCAGGGCCTAAGGTTGAGGGTTCAGGGCTCAGGGCTCATGAAAACTGCGGCCCGGTCGCGCCGAAGAGAAGGATGGGGCGAGCCTTCGCGCTCCCAAACCTGCGTCCCCCAGGGCAGGGCCATTTAGGGTTTAGGGTTTAGGGTTTAGGGTTTAGGGTTTAGGGTTTAGGGTTTAGGGTTTAGGGTTTAGGGTTTAGGGTTTAGGGTTAGGGTTTAGGGTTTAGGGTTTAGGGTTTAGGGCAGACAGGCTCCAGACCCGATAAACCCTCAACCCTGAAACCCCAACTCCCACGTCGCGGCTAACCCGAGACCCTCTGAACTGCTCAAACCCTATCACTAAAGCCCAGAAGCCCTGAAACCACGGCCAAGACACGACCAAAACAATCTACAACCATACACCTAACCCTAAACCCGCGAAAAACACACCAATCCATAATCCCAACCCTAATCCCAGCCCTAAACCTCTGAACCCGGAACCCTAAACCCTAAACCCTAAACCCTAAACCAGAAAAAGAAAGTTGGCCCAGATCCCACGCACCTCGAGCCCAGGACCCAGACTTCCAGCGCGGACCATGTCCTTGGAGGGGTGAGCTCCCTAGGAGCTCTCTCTTGGCAAGGGTGTTTGGGAGGGGTGTTTGGGGAGTAGGGTTTAGGGGTTAGGGTTTAGGGTTTGGGGTTTGGGGTTTCGGGTTTAGGGTTTAGGGTTTAAGGTTAGGGTTCAGCAGGGTTTAGCAGGGTTTAGTAGGGTTTAGTAGGGTTTAGCGGGGTTTAGTAGGGTTTAGGGTTTAAAGATCAGGGTGGAAATTCGGGAAGGACTCAAATGATGGCCGCTTTCTTGAGTCGTTCTGCGTCTGATTCCCTGATGAAGACACATCGGGCGAGTTCACAAAAAGGCCGCTAGCCGTGGGGAGGCAAAGACTTGTTGCATAGAGCAGTTCGTCCAGACTGTTCGTTGGAGCCGAGCTTGTTGAAGAACCCTAAACCCTAAACCCTAAACCCTAAACCCTAAACTTACATTCAGGGCTCAGCTCCCGACGGAAAGGTAGCCAAGATTCAGCTCCCAATGTCCATCCATACTTGGCTGCATCTCAGACTGCGCATCCATGCCTGCAATTAGGGTTTAGGGTTTCGGGTTTCGGGTTTAGGGTTTAGGGTTAAGGGTTAATAGAAATTGTGTAGGGTTTGGGTCCCAATAACGCTTCGAACGAAACGTTTCGTACGAAAGTTTCGTACGAAAGTTTTGTTTTTTAAAACTGCTGGAGGGCGGAGAGGGGGAAGAGAGGGGGGGAGGGGGGGAGGGGGGGAAGGGGGGAGGGGGGGGAGAGGGGGGGGGACATATCTTGAAAATTCAGATTGCTACGGGAGGGGGGTGGGGAGGGCGAGGTTTAAGTAAATTGAGCATTTGGCCTCAGATTTAAACTCAGCTCGTCAGCTGTTTAGACAAATAACTTGAAAATTCAGAATGATACCACATACAATTTCTATTTATTTTGTCTTGAGGGTTTAGGGTTTAGGGTTTAGGGTTCAGGGTTTAGGGTTTAGGGTTCAGGGTTTAGGGTTTAGGGTTTAGGGTTCAGGGTTTAGGGTTTTCACGGATTTAGGGTTTAGGGTTTGGGGTTTCGGGTTTCGGTTGTAGGTCCTTCATAGCGACAATCCCCTATTGAGCCCTTCCTAAACCCCAAAGTTCTACTCCGAAGGTTTGGCCCAGAGGTCCATTTAAGCCGTGGTTAGGGCCGTGGCTCAGAACCGTACCCACTAAACCCTAAACCCTAAACCCTAAACCCTAAACCCTAAACCCTAAACCCTAAACCCTAAACCCTAAACCCTAAACCCTAAACCCTAAACCCTAAACCCTAAACCTTAACCCTAAACCCTAAACCCTAACCCTAAACCCTCAACCCTAAACCCTCAACCCTACACCCTAAACCCTAAACCCTAAACCCCTCAGAACTCTTCTGGCCGATGGCCTGAGTCGTAGGCCTCCGAGACATCCCGGGACTCCGACTCCGGAGCCTCGTAAGGAGGAGGTGGGGGGGGGTTAGGGTTTAGGGTTTAGGGTTTAGGGTTCAGGGTTCAGGGTTCAGGGTTTAGGGTTTAGGGTTTAGGGTTTAGGGTTTCTTCGGTATTTCGGATTTCGGGCTGAGCGTGTTTGGGTTGAGGGCTTTTATTGTTGAGGGGTGAGTGTTTCGGGCTTAGGCTTTCAGGCTTGGCGTATCGGACTGGGTCATCGGATGCCCTGAGAATCCCTGAGCAATCCTGCAAAGCCCCCTAGGGCACGTTTGAGGGTCTCGGGCTTAGGGCCGAGGGTGTCTCGGGCTTCGCGCAATCGCACCACAGGCTTTTGCCAAGACTGGACCTTTGGGCCGAGTGTCCACGCTTTGTTGCTTCTGCGTTGCCTCCGCCCGCATCAGAGCGCTGCCCGTGTCAGGGTCCAGGCGCTGCAGGGGGTCAAATCTCTGTGAAGCTCAGGTCGCCGGCGCGTCCGACGGTGCAGGGGCACCCGCACCATCCACGCAAGCAGCTTGAATGTTGGGAGGCTTGGGAGGCTTGGGAGGGTTGGGAGAATCTCACAGTGCGAGATGGCTTTGGCCTCGGCTCCGGACTTCTGGGCGTGGGAGCTTCGGGCTGCTTCTCGGCCCCCGGCTCGGAGCTTGCGGAGCTTGCGGAGCTTGCGGAGCTTGCGGAGCTTGCGGAGCTTGCGGAGCTTGCGGAGATTGCTCGGGCAGAGTAGATCTCGTGAAGCGCCAGAACTAGCAGGAGGGCGACACCCCCGACCACTGTCACTGATGAGGGTGTCTCACCAAGCACAATCCAGACCAGCAGGGGCCCCAGCAGCACCTCCAGTAGCATAATGAGAGCCACTTCCGCTGACAATATGTACTTCGGTGCTGTCAGAATACAAGCGAAGGCCAGTGGCATCAGCACAGCACCATTTATAGCCGAGTACACCCAACCGATCAGGCCTGATTGTGGCCGGCACTCATCATCAACACGACCGCCCGACCACGCAAGTGCTATGCACGCTGGGATGACAGGGCCCGTGATGATTGTGGGAAGTAGGTTGGCATCTGGGTACTTCATTCCTGCATGGCGGGAGATCGTCAGGTACAATGCCAGCAAAAATCCACCAGCAATTGCCAAGCAGTCCCCTTCGATTGACTCTGTTCCAGACGGACCTTGAGTCCTGCTTCCCAAGAAAACCACCACGACGCAGGAGAAGCCCAGGAGGATGGCAGCCAAGGTGTAGAAGGGCGGCTTCTCCCTGAAAGCAATGCAGCCCAAGATTGCGCACCACAGCGGAGCAGCGTTGAAGAGCACCAGGGTGTTCGCCACATAGGTTCTCTGGATTGACAGGGTGAAGCATGACTCCTGCAAGCCATCGAGTAGGGTCACCGCGACGAAGTGCCACCCGGTTGCCAAGCATGACTTAAGCAAGCTACGGGGACCCCCGCTGATGAGCGTGAGTCCCACCAGGGTGGCCGCCGCCTTGAAGCAATACCTGTAGAAGAGCACGCATCCCTCACCCTTGTGCTCTTCATGAGCTAAGCGGATGAGCAGCGAATCTGGGGAACAAGACAAGACGCCCACAAGCGCCAGCAGCACTCCCCATTGTCGATTTGTCGCTGCACAACCACTTGCCATGTTGACTTTGCAACAGCTCTTGGATCCAATGCCGCAGAAGAACTTGCTAATGCTACACACATTTCAACCAGGGCATTCTCTGAGCGGCACCCATCGCTTCGACACACTCCCATCAGGACCTTGCCTCCTCCTCTTCATCATCGTCGTCCTCCTCGTCGTCGTTGTCCTCCTCCTCCTCCTCTTCAGCATCATCGTTTCACCACAAAGAGTACGCAAATGGTTTATGATAAACCTCTACGGACAGGGAAACCTGATTCAAACCTATACTGGATGCCCAAGGATGAGAGCATTCAGGGGCTTGGATTTAGGGTTTAGGGTTTAGGCTTGAGGGTTTAGGGTTTAGGGTTTGTTCTGGTCTCCTGCGAACGCACGGCGGCTGACTTGGTGGCCCGCCGGGACGTTGGGCCTGGCATCGTTGAAACCTTCAGCCCTAAACTCTAAGTGTCCAAAATCTCATCGAAGCTTTCGAAACTCTGAATCTCTGAAACTCTCACCTAAATACCCACAACCCTAAAACCCTAACATAGCCTGAAACTCAGAGACCCTGAAGCACCCTAAGACTCTAAACACCCCAAAAGCCCTAAACCCCCAAAGGCCCAAGATACCCTTTGAAGCCCTCAGACCCTCAAAGAGAGCTCTGAAAAGACACCGCGTAAGATACCCCAAAAACAACAGCCTTGTACAGGCCCCCAGATGTTTTTGCGGATGCTCTTGAACCCTAAACCCGAAACCCTAAACCCTAAACCCTTGTGAACTGATGGATTCTTGAAGGCTTCGCGGATGCGCCGATTCAGGGCCGAAGGCCGAAGGCAGAGTTGGGGTCTCAGGTTTAGGGCTCACGTGCTCGGGCGCCCAAAAGAGTTGACCCGAATTCTTGGCACAGCCTGTCTTTTTCCATAACCTCAGCGTGGGGGCTGTTAGAAGTTAACTCAGCTATTCTCGCCCCAACGTTTTTACAGAGCCTACTCGAAAACGGGCAGATCATCGCTGTTGGGCTTGCAAAGTCACTTGCAAGAACATCACATAGCAAGTGCTACGCGAACCACGCAGAAGCCCGTTTGCTGCTGTCGTGAGGCTTGAGGGTCTGCGGTTTTTGTTGCCAACACGCGGGAGCCGTGTCACAGTGACAGCGGCCTAGTTTCTGGGAGCTGGGAGTCGGGTGCCTTATTGTAATCCGCAACAAAACCGTGAACTCCTGAAACCCTCAACCCCCCCCCCAAACCCGGAACCCTGCACCCCAAAACCGTGAACTCCTGAAACCCTCAAGCCCCACAAGTGGTCAACCTTTAATTCCCAAACCCTGAACCCTGCACCCCAAAACCGTGCACTCATGAAACCCTCAAACCCCACAAGTGGTCAGCCTCTGGCCGACGATTTGGCAAGCTCTTCCCGAAAGCAGGCCACGATATCGGAGTAGGGAAGGTGAGTCCTCGGTTCAGGTTTGGGGACTCTAAACCCTAAACCCTAAATCCCCTAGACTCCAACCCCTAAACCCTAAACCCTAAACCCTAAACCCTAAACCCTAAACCCTAAACCCATCCGGGCTTCCCTAAGCCCGAAACCCCGGGTTGAGGAACAAACCTAAGCCGAGGACCGTAGTGGCACCCCTTGGCTTGACATCAAGCAGGGCCCTCGAAACCTGAAAACCCAACTGGTGGAGGGAATCAGAACCCTAAACCCTAAACCCCAAACCCTAAACCCTAAACCCTAGACCCTAAACCCTAAACCCTAAACCCTGAACCCTAACTCCTAGGCAGAGGCTTGAAGGTCTGGCTATGGAAAGTTTGCGCGCTGGTGAGGGTTGTTTCGGCCCTGAGAGACCTTGAGCTTGTGCTTCAACCCGAAATCCTAAACCCTAAACCCTAAACCCTAAACCCCAAACCCTGAACCCTGAACCCTAAACCCTAAACCCTAAACCCTAAGCCCTAAACCAAACCCTAAGCCCGGGGCTGGCCGAGTCCCCCCCATCCGAAACCCCAAGTTCCTAGACCCAAAACATGCCCGAAACCCGTGCCTCAAGTAGACCCTGAACCCTAAACCTTAAACCCTGAACCCTAAACCCTAAACAGCACCATAAGCGCCAAAAACTCGGCACCCTCATCCCTCAACACCAGACCGCAGAGGAGCTCCCAAAAAAGCTCCAAACCCAAATTCCTCAGCACCCGTCCCCCAACCCTAAACCCTAAAGCCTAAAGCCTAAACCCTAAACCCTAAACCCTAAACCCTAAACCCTATACCCTAAACCCTAAACCCTAAACCCTAAACCCTAAACCCCAACCCCCGAAACCGCAAGCAAGGGGCTGCGCACGAGCTAACTCCCGGCAGTGGTGCTCCGAAGGCTTCCTAGGTTGGGGTTTGGGGTTTAGGGTTTAGGGTTTAGGGCTTAGGGTTTAGGGTTTAGGGTTTAGGGTTTAGGGTCGAGGGTTTAGGGTTTAGGGTTTAGGGTTTAGGGTTAGGGTTTCGGGGATGATTTGTCCTGCTATGACTCTGACTGTTGTGTCGAGGGTTTAGGGGTTTTCTGGCGAGGGATGTAAGGCTTGCAAAGGGTTCTAGAGGTTTAGGCCGTATTAAGGTCAGGTTTCCGAGGAAATTGATGCCTGGACCCCAAAACCGAAAACCCAAAACCCTAAGCCCTGGCCTGTATCCCCACATCCCCAAGCCAAAAAGCTGTGTCCCTGAGCCTAAGCTCAACGCCAGGTCGCGGCACTGCGCAGCAACTGCCCCCGAAACCCCAACATCTGGACCCAGTAGTCAAAGTAACAGCAGTAAGAAAAGGATCAGGCAAAGGAACATCAAAAAGCCAACCCCCTCCCCCATCCCCAAAGACCGACCAAGGCTCAGATTCACGCGCGCGCCGGGCACCAGGGGGGGCAGCTCCCTGAGCACCTCCGAGATCAGCGCCCGGTGCTTCAGGCGGTACTCCACCCGACGCACCAGATTCCTGAGGCTTCTTCACCTACCTTCAGCACCCCCCAAGCCTTGCCTTTGTGCAATACGTGGCTTTGTAGAATGTGTCTGGGGGTTCCTACGGGAGGCTCCAGCTGAAGTGACACTCTACACCCCCCAACCCTGAATCAAGACCCCCCAGCTACTCAGCCAACCTGAAACACATCAGGAACAAGAGCGATTCATCAAAGCCTTTCAGCTTTTAGGGGGTCGAGCTTGAGGTTTGGTTCCGAAAGGCCTCAGGGCTTAGAATGCAGGACCGAATTGTGGAGGCTCTCGGGTTTGTGGAGGGGTGAATCACAAAGTTTCCTTGTTCGTGGTGACTTTGTTGAGTAGGCCTACTAACCCCTTAAGAACCATAATTTCCAAAAACTAAGGAGCGCCTTGAGTTCTGATATCAACAAAGATAAAAACAGAGCTCCTCAAACACTGGCCCCCACACGCTGAACCCTAAAGGAGACTAATCCAGGGGCCTGAATCATTAGAAAAAGGTCTTTTTTTCTTAAGGGACCATGAAGGAATACTAGTCGTAATTGTTCCGACCCCTACATTCCCGAAACCTCCAGGAGATGACGAGGCGCAGGTAGGTGAAGCGGGGCCGGCGGCCTTCGGAAATCAGTGCCCGGTGGCTGGCGTAGACCCACCTGGGTCTCGAGAAAAATTCTCGGGCTTAGGGCTTAGGGCTTAGGGCTTAGGGCTTAGGGCTTAGGGCTTAGGGCTTAGGGCTTAGGGCTTAGGGCTTAGGGCTTAGGGCTTAGGGCTTAGGGCTTAGGGTTGAGGTGTATGGGCTTAAGGGCTCAAGGTGTGGGTTGTTTAGGGTTTGGGGATCAGGGCTTTCTGCAAGTGGTCCTGCGGACGATCCATGCGAGAGGCACGCAAAGATCTCTAGCGGAGACTTAGGACAAATCGCTTGGTGCGTTGGGATCGTTTGTATCGGTTCGATACTGACAGGAGCGAAAGGGCTTGCCCTGGCTTGAGCAAAAGGCCCCTTATCAAAGAAAGCAACAACTTGATGCTTGAGTTCGCGTAAGCTCACTTTAGGGTTTAGGGCTTCGTTCGACCTACGGAGCCTATCGACCCTGAAACTCAAAGATCCCAGAGCGCCGAGAGCCCTGAACGGGTAGGGCTACGAGTATGAATGCCTGGTAATGTCTGGGTTTCTCAAGATATCTATTCTGCAAAACATCTGTAGAGTAAGTGTGAATTTCAGAAAATGCAAAGGGGTGTTGAGCCCTCAGGAAGGGAAAGGGCCGAAAGTACAAAGAACCTTCAACCCCAAAAAGGTGGGGGTCGGCGCTGAAACAAAGAAATTGTTGTACGAGAGTAAACTTGGGGTGTTTCCCTTATACTTTCCAGTTCTTAGAAGGGATTATAATGGGGGGGGGTAGTATAATCCCTATTAAGGACTGCTAGCATAATAAGGGGAAGCATCCCAAGGCTGAAACCTTAAGGCACCCCCTTCCTCTTGGCACAGGCCCACCACGACCGCAGCACCGCCGCCCTCTTCTCTGCCGGGGCCTGCAACACCTCGGCACAACGCGTGCAGGTGATTGAAGGGTTGCATGCGGGTTTACGAAAGTAAGGGACCGAAGGGACCCCTTATATAGACCCCCAAGTAGTGGGGAATCTCCCTTATACTATACGGACCCCAAGAAGGTACCCCCTGAACCCTAAACCCTAAACCCTAAACCCCAAACTGTCGGAAGCCCCCTACATGGCTCCTTTTTTAAAGAGCCCTTCTTGGGCCAACGCGGATCCCGGATCCTTGGATCCGACACCCTCGGATCAGGGCTTGGGATGTCAAGTGGCGGCTCCCCTCTCCCAGCCCAGATCTCCCTAAACCCGAAACCCGAAACCCTAAACCCTAAACCCTAAGCCCTAAACCCTAAACCCCAAACCCTAAACCCTATAGCCCCTAAGACAGAAACATCAACTATTTGAAGCCCCAAGGCCCTAAACATTCCTGAGCCCGAAAACCCTAAACAACCCTATACGCCCTGAAACCCTGCAACCCCGAAACCCCGAAACCCTGAACCCTAAACCCTAAACCCTGAAACCCTGAAAACCCTGAAGCCCTGAAACCCTGAAAACCCAAAACGCCTAAACCCCTAAACCCTGAAACCCCTAAACCCTCAACCCTAAATCCTGAACCCTAAACCCTAAACCCTAAACCCTATACCCTAAACCCTATACCCTATACCCTGTACCCCTCCAGAAGCCTCCGCGTCGCGTGGGCGCAGGCCAGGGTGCCATTGCAGCGCCTGGTCGTGCATCCACCTCATGCTCACTGCGAGGGGATTTCGGTTTTTAAAGGGTAAGGCCTAGAACCCCTAAACCCAAGCCCTAAACCCTAAACCCTAACCCTAAACCCTAAACCCTAAACTCTAAACCCTAAAAGGCCCTAAAAAAATAACCAAACCCGTTCACCCGAAATTCTGCAGCCTAACCCCTCAGCTCTGAAC